AAATCTTGCAGCTTGGGGGTTCATGAATGAATCGAATCAACACCCGAAAGAGAGGGATTGCAGAGACTGTGCTGGTATGGGACGGTACAGTTAGGAATGACTTATAAGAATTAATTGGTACTACCTATACTAACAAGATGCATCTACTTTTCGGTAGCCCGGATCGGAAGAACTCCACAGTTAAGCGTGCTTGACTTGGAGCAATTCTGGGATGGGTGACCTCCTGGGAAGTTTTCCCGGGAAGTGTGCGAGTGAGGACAAAGCACACTGAAAAGTCTCGTGTTAGTGTGTGGGGACAGTCATTGATTCTTGCAAGTGGCCGAGCGTTACAGATGTTGCAAGAGACTCTAGTGGCAGGTGGTCACATTTGAGATAGATTTATATATGTTGATGTTGTGTCTTTTACTTATGCATGCCAATCAATATTAGTCCATGTATAGAGCATTTTGAAGCTTCATTGGTTTTTGTGTTCATGTTGAGATTAGAGGATGATTATTGATATTTTGTATAGCCCTCATGTATATGAGTAGGGACTTTGATCATATGTATTTTAAGTTCTTTGGTATGTATTTATTTTGAAGAATGTTGTTGTACAATTATATATGTAAAGTCTGTTAAGTGTAATGGCATTGGGGAGAAAGTCCCCAAGAGAAATACATGAAAATAAAGCAAATGTGTTTTGCACAGGTAGAGGGTGCTTAAGCGCCCATGAAGGAGCTTAAGCGCCCTGGAAGAGGGCTTAAGCTCGCTCGTCGAACAGAAATTTGAGTAGTAGGGGACTTAAGCGGCCAAGAAGGGAGCTTAAACACCTACCCTTGTTTAAATAAAAATAAATTATACATGAAATTAATGATTAAGGACCACTCAGTTGGGTCTAATAAAGTAAGGACATGATGTTAAGCATAATATTAGTTATTCCGCAACTTCACACAGTTATAGTTACGACATTGGTGATTTTAAATACGGTGTGGTTTGAAAAAGGAAAAACAAACAAGGTTTTCAAAGAAAAGTTTATCCTTGTTTTCAATTGGACTAATGTTATTGTAACTGCACTTAATATCATAAAACAATGATAACAAACTGGTTCTAGAACGTGGTGTTACATATTGGAACCCGAATATCTGAAACCTAAAGGAAAGTTTCACAAGGGATTTTTTTTATACTTTCAGTATCCTACTTTATTCGTAACTTACACGTACTTTTAATCCTCCACAAAGTGTCAAATTAAATTTTGAACATCAAACCCTAATTAATTACGCTATGACGGAAACTAGGGTAGAAGGATTCAATGAAATTTTCCAAACTTTACACTCTCATACATGTTCACCTCACATTACTACACCATATTCATCAATAATATCACACAAATTCAAATTTCTAATCCAACGTTTTTCCCACCCAATTGCTCTTGAAAATTTAAAACTTCAAATCCAAAAATTAAACCCATGGAGAAGAGATTCCTTACCACAAAAAACTCCTAGGAGGTCCAAGGGACAACCTCCAAGAAAAGCTTCATCAAAACTCCAAATTTCTCCTCTTGATGAATAGTGCCATGAAATTGGGGGAGGAGATATCTCTCAACACGATATTTTTCAAGGTAAATGGAGTTGATGGTTGGATTCACTTGGTTTTCTACTTAAAATTTCATGCAAGGTACTTGATGTTTTGGTGGATTATTGAGTGAGAATGAGAGGAAAAAAAAAAAACCCTATCCCCTTTTCACCATGTCTGCCGCGGCTTGAAGAGAGAGAAGAGATGTTGAGAATGTTGATGAATAGTGGCAATGGCACCTCACTTAACCTACTTAAGGTCTTAAGACATAATATGGTAGTTTCTCACACTTAATTTCACTTAACTTGACCCGGTATTAACTCAAAGCTACAAATATAATTTTATTTTTCTGAGCTCATTTACACTTACTTTTATTCCCTAAGGAACAATATTAGCAATTCACAGTTGGGTTTCTGCACCGTTTTTGACAAAATGCACAGTGAATCACTAACTGTGCACTGTTTTCACGCAAAATCGTAAACTTCTAACTTATCATTTTTGGTCTAAACATGAATTGTTTGGCATATATTGGACTTTCATATACTTATCACATTATTTATTCATTTCTAGGCTCTGCTGGTTGCTTAAACAACAGTATAAATCATCCGACAGAAATCACTATTCACGAGATTTTCGCGAAAAAGTGTCAGACAATATAAAATCACATTCTAAACACATATTTGACATCCAAATCTTCAAATTAAATCTCCATAATAAAAATTTACCCGTGAGGATCGTTATAATCAGAAGGAATGGTAATTAAGAACTAACAAGTGATAGGTGAAAATTGAAGGAAGTCAAACCCTTGCTACACTTAGTATTTACATTATGGAAAATTATACTCTTATGCTACATAAGAGTCCTATCTCATTTTACACTCACATAAAAAGACGTGCCTCTTTTTTTCTTTCTTTTTCTTTTTTTAAAAATTGGCGGGTCCCACTTAATTTATCTCACAACATGAGATAGCTTCTCTCATACAACATGAGAGAAGTAAAACCCTTACATTATAGACTAAAACTTTAACAAACGAATATTTTAAAATTCCTAAGGTAGCGTTTGGTTGAGGAGAAATTTTTTGAATACTAGGGAAATGTAATTGATAGGGAAATGGTAGGAAAGTGAGTTTGATAGGAAACTGTAAAAACAGTTGTTTGGTTAGAAAAAAATTTACCGGGCAAATTGAGTGAAAATTCTGAATCTGTGTTTGGTTGAAGATAAAATATTGATGGGAAAATATATTAAAATTACGAAAAAATCCTTTTAAAAAATGACTCTATAACTGCAGGGGGAACATCAATAAGGTTCACGTTCCCAACTATTTCTCCACATATGTTTTGGATCTGTGACTGTACATCTGAGAACTCCCTTCTTTCTTCCTCTTGTTGCCATTACTGTTCAAGTATTGATGCTATGCCTTCAAGCTCTTCCTTGATAGTTGCAGAAGTTTTTTTGTGGCTGTTGAAGTTATAAAAATTATGCAAAGATTATGCAGAGGAAGTTAATTAAGCATTTAAAAATTTAAATGCATCACAAACCTATATTTGTAGTAATCTTGTTTTGCATTGCCAATATAAGGATATAATTAAGTAGTTACTAACATTTCCAGCAAACCTCTTTTCTCCATGAGCTTATAGAAGACCAAACAGCTCACGCTTAGCATCAGACAAGGCTTGAAGTAGCTGTGCTCTTTCATCTTGTTTGCTCACGTGTGAGGGATATTTTTGTCATGGTTTTGTTCCACTTTATTAACTTATCAGGTTTCTCAAGAAATACCATGTTACAAGTTGCTTTCTCAACGGTGGTTTTCTTCATTTTTCACGTACAATGTTTGATAGCTAGGTAACTCAGAATAATGGGTAAAATTTATTAAACCTTCTACCAAACAAGGAGAACCATGAATGCTGGAATCACTTGACTGGGAAACCCCTCAAAACTCTTAAACCAAACACCCCTTAATAGTTGGTGAGATATGGATGAACGAAGACCTACTTTTCAAAGTAACAAAGTATAACAAAAGAAAAAAATAATAAAGTCAAGGTCCCACATGTGAATTATGAAATCAACAGTACTCTAAAGCTGGTTAGAGCAATAATAAAAGTAAAAAGAAATGCTACTTGGTCCTTGTGCTTTTGAAATTATAGGCAAACGAATCTAAATTAAAAGACGTAAAGGGAGATGATATAAAGTAGATGTAGATAGCAATAATAAAAGTAAAAAGAAATGCCACTTGGTCCTTGAGCTTTTGAAATTATAGGCAAACGAATCTATATTAAAAGACGTAAAGGGAGATGATATAAAGTAGATGTAGATAGCAATAATAAAAGTAAAAAAGAAATGCCACTTAGTCCTTGTGCTTTTGAAATTATAGGAAAACGAATCTAAATCAAAAGACATAAAGGAAGACGATATAAAGTAGATTTAGCACCGTGACCTTTGATAGGTTTCTTATCAACAATTTTCAGAAATAATCATCTTTGTACATTGAAATGTGACACACTACCTTAATTATCTTATTACTCTTGTTTTATCTTCCTCTATGTTATTCCTATTATTTCAATGACAATAAGTCTATGTTTCTAAGATCTACATAAAAATGTGGGGTACATTTTTCACTTGTTATGGTAAGGAAGATATGATGGCAAAGTTTCCACATTTTATATTTACAAGTGGCAGACACAATGTCTTCATATGATTAAGTAGCCGTAGCATTGAAAAGACTTGGACTTATGTAAGTTCCTAAACGCAATTGGTAATTAATTGAACTAAACCACTCAATTGTTTCACAAGCCACTTGGCGATTTGTGGATTTCATGGAGAAAGTGGACTTTACCACCTGGAATGGCTATACCAAAAGTAGAAATTAAGCTAATTAGAGATATAAAGTGAGTAAGCTATGCATAAAAGTTTACATTCTACATACTGATTTCTGTTTTAAAATATCTCGTGTTAGCACAATTGGGAAATGCTAGATATGTTTGGGGCTTTTTCTTCTTTCTCCCAAAAGATTGAAATACACTCATTTGAGGCAGGCAACGGGTCATGTGAAGCAGCAGTGAAGATTTACTTAATGGAGTTTCTTAAATAACTTAAGTCAATGAAAATATAGGGGTGGCATGTAATGAAAGAGGTTATGAACATAATCTTGATTGTAATCAGTTTACAATTCAGTGGCGGAGTCAGGTTTATTAATTAGGTGTTGGGGCAAATTTTTTTTTTTTTTATATCCATTCAACCATACACTCTCCAATCCATTCTCGCTCTCTTCTTATTCTGTTTTAATTTTTTCACATGAATTTACCACTAGACTCTAGGAAGGAATTGTGGTTTAATCATTATTTTATAATATGATTTTAATATTAAAAATATTTAAACTATTAATTGTTTATATATTAACAAATCATCCAATCAATTTAGATGTTAAAATTCATTTACTCAGATAATATAAAATTTATCCTACAAAATGAAAAAATAATATGAAATTTTTTGCAATGTATCCAAATTATTATTATTTTTAATTTTCTTCAGCAGTATCCTGATTTATTATTATCCTTTCATTTCCTTGATTGTTTGTTATGAGATGAATTACAGCGATCTCAATTCATCTAGAATCTCCATGTAAACGTTTACATGACACCGATGTCGACAATCCATAAATGAAGTCATATTTTTTTCTTTGCTGTAGTAAATTTATTGGAAATAGGAAATTGCAGAGCACATGTAAAACTTGCACTCAACAAGCCGAAGACAGTTGTCGTGAGAAGTGGATGTATAGCTGTTAGCATTAAAGGGAGGAACGCACGCCAACACATATATCGTCGTAGAAGAACTTCTTGAAAAGTTGCATATGTGCCATCTGGAAGTGCATAGACACAATAACAGAGCCATCCCCATCTGGGCTTGGAATAATCAATGCCCTGTCATGTGGAGACACATATCCTAGACCAAAATGCACAGGCTTTCCCCTCCCAAAATCAGCTTCATACATAGGCATGCTCATCCAGCTTGTGAGATGAAGATTAGGATTCCCAGAAAATGGGGCTATCATAAGTTCTCCTTGTCTCAAGACGAAAGCCCTTAAGCAATCTAGTACCTCCTGGCCCAAAATAACATCTAGTTGTGACCTTATGTACTCATTTGTAAGCAACTCAACTGATTCCCGTATCATCTGTGCTGCATAGCTCAAAGGATTTGATATAAGTTCTCCAACATAGCATGTTGATGTCACTGTTCTTGCCAAAGCATTCCCAGAATAATTACTAGGCAGAGGTGGATTCAGTCTACTGCGAATATCAGCATTGAACCGAACCAGAGTTGGTTGATTGTCATCAAGTTCACGAGCCTTAGATGCACATCTCCATATATGTGCAGCAATAGCTTCATATCTGCTATATGGTCTTGACCCATCTTTCTGGGATTGATCATTGGCCTTCTTCTTCAGCTTCTCCACTTCCTCTGATGTCAGTTTCAATGATGCAGCTGTTGTTTTCTTCTTTTGCTCATTAGTGCAATCAGAGGTTCCTAGTATGAGTGGGGGAGGCTTCAACTCAGGGTGATCAAAGCGTGGTGCTAATGGTGAGTGTGGGAATTTGAGTATTGTTCGATCTAGAAATGGCATTTCATCAGGGTCTAATGTATCCCCACGAGCCAGCTTTGCCCATGAGTTTATGAATTGAATAGTAGCAACCCCATCAAACAAAATATGAGAGATAGCAACACCCATGGCAAGGCTTTGGTCTCTATGGAATGTTGTGAGTTGGACCAGCAGCAAGGGCAGCTCCTCAATAGGTTGAGTATAATCAATGGTTGGAATAAGGTCCTTGATGGGGTAAGTGGGTGAAAAATCTCCATATTCATCCAATGTTTTTGTGGTTTCAGCTTCAAGCAATATCACTCCCTTTGCATTACAATCCAATTCCAATCTACCACGTTCTTCAATCCAACTCAATCTACCACCTACTGGATAGTAATGCACTAAAATCTCGGTGAGCGAGGTTCTCATCCTCTCAATGGCTTCGTGGTTGTGTTTTGCTTTGTAAACGTAGATAATGGGTGTATGACCTAGACGCACGACATGGTCATTATCAGAAAGCCATAAACGAGTCTTGGGAGTTGACTGATTTGGAATGACAGTGTGAGAAGCTGTAATGGTCACCATATTTGTGCTTATAGCCTTGATGTGGTATATGCTTCATTGCTTTGCTCTGCGTCTTGCAATATATATATATATATATATATATATATATATATATATATATATATAGAGTTTGCATCTATCATGTCACTTAAAGTGAAAAAATTTTCTCCACACGTAACATTTTGTGAGGTTCGCATTTTTTGAAACAAAAATAAAAATAAAAAAATTAAGGCACCCAAAACAAATTTTTATAATATTACACAATCATTTTTCTAACGACACAACACAATCATTTTTCCAACAACACAACTCTTATATATATATATATACACAACCCCGAGGTATTCATAAACACTGCTCTTAAGGCCCCAACCAAATTACCAAACCACGCTTCAGGACTAAAACCTCGGCCTATGATGTGGTGGAATCTATTAGCTTTGGGTTCAGACATTTTTAAAATTTTCTTAAAAGTTTTTGTAATTAATACTCTTAGATACTCAATGAATTAGTTTAAATAAAAAATAAAATTATTTATAATTTAATACGTTTTATTACATTAATTCTGTTTTATTTTTTTTTTAGATGATAAAACTCCTGAGTGAGCTTTTTCTGTTGAAATAATTTTACTGTGTATGCTTTTCAAACGTTATTGTACCTGGCGCCAGGGGATATGTGGGTATTAAATATTACAGTTGTACATTGCATCATAGCACATCAATGGATGGAAGACAAATTTTTATTTTTACTTTTCCATTTTTTCATTTGAAACTCAATTACTTCAGGGAGGATTTACACATAGGTGTCCGGATCTTACTCGAAATCAAGATATGATAATAAGATGGTTGATAAATAAATGGCACTGTGGCAACTTGCAAGTATTTCTTTTACAATACTTATTTTTAAAACAACTTTTAAGTGGTAGCTGAACACAGCTTTCATAGTGATTTTTCTTTTACAAATATTTTTTTTTAAAGAAATCCTATAATCAAATTTTTTTAACAATAAATAAAAATTTTAACATAAAATAAGCTAACTAAATAGGTTACTTTTAAATATGATGATATTTGTAAGGAAAAAGTTCAAAAACCTCCTATGATTTTGTTTTAAATTACTTTCCCTCTTATTTATTTTTTAATCAGTTACCTCCTCTATAGTTTTTTTATCCAAACCCATTCTTGACAATGTTAAAAACCAAATTAATCTTCCTATTTTACCCTTTTTAGGGAAAAAAATAGACACAAGAAAAAAAAGAAAAAAGAAGAAGAAATAAAACCAAATATAATGAAAACTTAACACTAAAGATTAAAACTGAAAAAAAAATATAGAAAATTGTCATGACCCAAATTCGAGTCATGACTAACGCATAGACTATCATCAAATAGTCTAGCAAGCCTAACTATCACATCGATCTAATTAATAATAATAACTCAAATCACAATAAATAAATATATATATATATATATATATATATTCTGAAAGATTTATATTTCCTGGATCATGTATATGATTATAAAATATCCAAATATAATGAAATCAGAGTTGGGATGGTGCGTGTAACACCTCGTAGTACTCCGGTTGTTATTATCATGATATTATAGAGTACACAGCGGAAGATTTTATTAAATAATTAAAGAGACGTCTTGTAAAAATACGAATAAACTTTTTCCAAAATATTTTCTGAAAGCGTTTCTAAAAACTTTCACATGAGAGATATTGCGGAAGCGTAAAACTAAAACGTACATCTACTAATTAATCCCATTAGCCAGTATTAGTGGCCATTGACTAACCAGATATGACCACAAGTGTCATTCCTGCTAGAGTCTCACAGACAGCATAATTGTTGTTTAACGGATAACTGGGAGATAAGAATCTCACACATAATTACACCTGATAAACACAGTTAAATAACATACAACTTGCAAGTCCCACACGGACTGCAATCCCCTCAATGGGTCAGTACATACATAATGGCTCTGTGCCCAATTTAACAAATCCATACATCATGTCTTTATGCACTCATCACATGCATCTAACATAACTCATAATACATACATCCATAATTCAAAGGCTCAAATAAAAATATTCCTGAGCATTATTACATACTTCAACAGAGTCTTAAAATAAGCTAACTAGGCATGTCAACACACTACACATGCCACATAATTAAATAAAAGCGTAAAATGAACAACAGCATCAGTCCACTAATACGTAGCTGGGCCCTTGCCCTTAGAATACTCACAACTACCGTGGGTACCTGAAATGATATCCCCAAAAGGGATGAGATAACAACATCTCAGTAAGCTCAAGGTTCATAGAGGATCCTCTAATCCCCTGAGCCCACTTCTTGTATGACAAGTCAGATATAAAGCATATAATACGGGCATACAACATAAACATAGCATCATCATATCATCCTCGTGTAACCCCAGGGTCAAAGCCATAGACGGTTACACATGTGTGACTCCTGGGTCAAGCCATAGACAGTCAACACAACCTTAGTATGAAATAGCTCCTAGAGTCAAGTCATAGGCAGCCTACATACCACGATCAATGGCCAGGATTCTCATAACATATATCATTAGTGCATCATCATAACATCAAGAATCATATAACATCTATATGCATGTGAATGAAAGCACATATACATTATACCACATACTTTCATACAATACAACCATAATGTCCACCATCATGGTGGGGCCACAAGAGAGAGGAGCCACTACAACCAGGAGCTTACCTCAAGGAGTTTAGCACAGGCCCACACTCCAATATAATACGTATGCTCCAATAAAATCCTCAAGTGCAAGGTTCTCTACGTACACCTAGAGTAGGAACCATTCACATCATTAATTACACAGTAATTAATCAAGTCATATATAAGACTTAATCATTTAATGATTCCACTTTTCATACTTATATACGAATGATATGCCCATTATAAGTCTAGACCATTTATTACTTAATTAGATGTTTTTAATGCATAAGGAATTGTTCACTAAGTCCACAATAACTCATTAGACACTTAGTCCATTAATGAACTCTCTTAGATTAAGACATTTTCCACTTAACTTATAACTAATCAAGACATTTATCATCAATATATGTCATTCATAACCTTGAACATTACTTATTATAAGTTACTAAGTGTAACACCCCGTGTATACCCGGTAATGTTATCATACTATCGTATTAAGCTGTGCTTTATTAAAAATGCGGAAAATCTTTTTCTTTTCAATTATGATGTCATTATACTTAGCCCAGTTGATTACTTAATCAATTTCATAAAATATCGCCTGTATGTAAATTGCAATAAACATCTAACTGAAATACCTCCATATATAGATATAAATGTGAGTATCTAAGTCACGGATCTACTACTCGTAGTCCGGGCAATAATCTTGATACATTATTACAACTCCAACTAAAACAAGACATAAACAAGTCTATGTGGCATGGACAATCCCCATGCTCACCAAATAAATGACATAATCAACCAAGTCTCAACATAATAATCCATAAACTGAAGCTAAAAGCATAAGACAGTAAACATGATACAGAATCAAACATAGCAGCATAAACATGCAACATCTATCAGCTAAGCTCTGGCCTCCTGCCACTAGAGGTCTCAACCCCCGCATTACCTGAACCTGAAATAAGCATTCCCCAAACGTGGGGTGAAATCTCTAAACCAGAAATCTCAATAAGACAAGGGATCCTCAAGGATCTTCCACCTTAAGCTCACTTACATGTGTAATATAAGTTCTAAAAGCAGTAATATCAATATTAGTTCCAAAACTATGCAGTGCAACAGATATTCATGCCATGTGTGTCAATACTATTCTACTGGCCAGAGAAATGCAGGAATACGTCTATTACCCACACGTAGTCCAAGGAACACCGCTTGCACCTCACCTACAGCCTCACCATCTTGTATGTACCACATACTCAGGCTTACCGTATAGGTGGAACACCACATGTATATCATAAAGGCTCTAGCATATAACAGCTCACTACCATTTCCAAAACATCAAAAGCATGTAACACAACATGCATATAACCATACCCCCATGGGACATGGTGGAACCACAACATGGCTAAATCGAGGATACGAAAGCTTACCTTGCAGGCTAGCTATCCAAGCCAAGAGTCCACAAAATCTCAAAGCCCAAACACAGCAGTATCACAATCTGTTATGGACCAATAATACATCATTAATCAAACTCTACAAGCATACACTTAAAGACAACGTCTTTCCTTTACGTTTTACTTCTTAAGGCTTCTAACAAAGCCACAAGCCCTTAATGACTTGATTCTGACTTAGTTCATTAATTACAGAAGTTCAACTTCATCAATCTAGGGTCTACAAACACCCAATAGCCTACTATACACATAGCACAGCTACTGTTCTACGAAATCCCAGAATATCCGGATATTCCTCGGGGGCATATCCGGATATCTCACTGGCAATATCCAGATATTCACAACCAAATATCAGGATATTTCGTGACAGAACCCAGATTCTGCATTTCGCGAAAATCCAAACCAAAGGTCCAACTTTTACCAATTAACTACGTCCAAGCATGCATTTTTAGGTGTGTTTAACGTTACCCACCCCTAAGTTATCAACTTAGCACATTACATGCATCAAGGTTCCATTTTTAAGCCCTTAGACTCAAGATCAAAGGTTGATGGAGCTTACCAACAACACAAACAGTGGAAAGAATACTCTTAGAGCTCACTCTTCAGCTCCTAGGGTACTGACTTGCCAGAGAACGAAAATGGCACACTACCAAGGTTCCTCTTCACCAAAAATGGCTTCTTAGAGCTACCAAAGACATGAACAAAAGCTCACCCAAGGAAACACACCAACTCAGCCCTTCCCCTCCTCACAAGCAGCCTCAAAACTCAGAACATAAGCTCCTCTCCCACTCACAAGTAACCATCACACCCAACCAAAGTGTTTACTCAACAAAAGAGAAGAAGAAATGGAGCAAAGGTGACCACTTGGCTCACGAATGAAGGAGAAGCCAATGAAACAGTGCACTAACACTCAGCCACCAAGAGAGCCACGTAAGAAATCTGAGTGCCTAGGGTTT